CTCCCACAGCCTTTTGGAAATTAAGCACAGATTATGAAGGACAGCAGAGGGGATTTTCTCCAGATTTCTTTTTCCAGAAGTGGTTTAAGAGTTTCTCAAAAGGTGGAGAAGCTGACAGACAGTGCAATACCTTGAAAAGACTATGGGGTAGGACTGTACTCCCTGTCCAGACTCTCTTCTCTATGATGAATCCATACCCAAATACTTGGCATGCATCTTTTGGTGTTCGGTGGTTTTTTGGTTTTTAAGCAATGAAATTTGTTTCTAAAGCATTTCTATATCTCTTCCCCAAACTAGGCTGCACTAAATCATTGCTGATGGGGGTAATGTTTCATTTAGTACAGGCTTCCCAAATTAGACTTTGGCTTATGGTGTTCAAAACCAAACCAGCCCTTCCATTGTTGCAGTTGTTCACATTTCTGGCTCACAAACCCCACACCAGTAGTGAAGTGCATCCTGTTTCTGGCCCTTGCTCCCAAAAAGTCACTGCTAATGAGCACAATAATACAAATCAATTCTGAAGCTTCTAGGCGAGATGTTAGGAAGAACTTTTGAAAAGAGACGGACTGCAAGAGAAGGGTTAGAGCTCCTGAGTCTTCAAAATGTTTGTCTGTGTGGCAGGCAGTGTGCCAAAGCAATTGTGTGCTCTGAGGCCACGTGCCAGCTGAAATTTGAGGGAGGTGGAAAGCTGACTTTGAGGCTGGCTCGAGCAGTAAGTGACCAGGACAAACACTTCCACCCCACACAGTTTATTTTCAAGCTATTGTGCAGCAGACACTTGAAAGCTGCTCATTAGAAGTCTGTGATGAGCTGGAGGTGCTGGGATGATACAACCAATTGATTTTATTGGGCAGAGCAAAGCCCCTGAAGGTGCTTTCTGAGCAGAGGGAAGTGGCATCACAGGGCTCCCTGTGGCAGGTCTGAGTTGGGGCAGGGAGGGAGGAGCCAGGCCAGAGCAGGAAGGTAACATACCCAAACTGAGGTTTTAATATGCAGCAAACAACAGGACAGGTAACAAATTGAAAAATTACTGCAGACACATTTAATCAGGGTAATTGGAAAGCCTTTTTTAGGAGTTCAGTTTGTATTACCCAGCTCAGTGTACTACCCGGTATCAGTTTCAAGAGTTGATAACACAGTGAGTGATTGCGTTGTTTTTATCAGCACTCTGAATGAAATTTTTCAAGTTAAAAGTAGCTGCTTCTGTTAAAAGAATAAACATTTAGGCATGTGATAGTTTTTACAAACTCTCCACAAAATTAAAAATAACTATATGTCATTAAATTTTTGTCAACTAAGGTAACCTCAGGCTGCTGATAATTTCTTCTGAGAAAGCTGGACTAATATCTTCTGGCCATGGAATGAGGCAGAAGTCCCTGTCAAAATCTAACGTTTCTGCCTCTACTAATTTTTAATATTCTGTACAAAAGATCTGTTAATAAATTTTGAGATTAAAGACTTAACTAATTGTCTTAGTGAATACTTAAATCTTTCATTTCAAGATATGTTTGTACTAATCTGTTTCTATCATAAGGTTTTTCTTTGGTAAAATTATGTTTTTTAACATTAGATATATTCCTTAAGGGTAAAATCATGGATATCTCTGCTCCAGACCACCTAGGGTCTGTTTAAGAGGTGAGCTCTAAACAGCAAATAGGACACTAATTTTTCATCCTGCTTAAAATAAAGATAAAATATTTCATTTGGGTAGTAGAGGTATAGGTTATGTTTGTGAAGTATAACTCTCTTTCATGCTAAAACATTTCAGCTCAAAACTTCTTGCTGGTTCACTAGCAAGATATTTATTACCATTGTAAATTTATTTAATACCTTCTTGATGTTACATGACCTCAGGTTATTAAATGTCTATCAAACATAATAATAGCTTTCAAAGAGCATAATAAAGCTAAACATCTGTACCAGTGTTACTGGGTAATGCAGCATAATCTCAATTTAGAAAAGTGAAACTGAAGTTTTTAGGAATTCTTGTATGTTACATACTCAGAGAAAATGCATTAATAAAATTAATACATTTATTGTTGAGCTCTGTTCCTCTTTGGAATGAAAATTCCAGCTCCTGGTTCTAGGAAGTGCCAAGATAGCTGCAGAGTAGCTGAAAAAGAAATGTCAGATAGTGACTCAGATTTGCTGTACCTGTCAGAAGTTTTCTGTCTGCAGCATGTGATCTCTCAAAAGTTGTTTTAATAAATTATCACATGGGTGTGTGCTCAAAGCGGTTCATATTGCTATGAATTTTGAGATACTTTATTCAGAAATGTGTGCAGCCTTCCTTTGAGACTTGGTGTTGCATCCTCTCTCTCAACAGTGCTTTTATAATTATTTTCTTTTAATAGGAAGCCAGAGAAACATTTGCCATAGCAAAGTTTAGCAGAATGGACTTAAGGTGTTACGTCCAAAACACCATAGGGAAAATTTCAGGTAATAAGGGTGTGCATTTTTAAAAAGTACTAACTTATCTTTAAATACTCTTGCCACTGAAGAGGATGATTTTGGGGCTACAAGCTGGTGTTTTTGTATAAGTAGATGCTGTAAAAAAAGGTGCCTTCAATGCACTGTGCTAATTGAAATTATCTTTTCACATGGCAGTTCTTCACTTAGAACAGTACTGTCAAAAATGGCTTTTTTTTCCAGTATATTTAATCCTCCATTCAAAGAGAAGTTTGGTTAAATGCAATATGCAATAGCTTTGTGAACCATCCTGCAGTGGATTAACCATTGGTGAAAGAAGTCAAAAAGTTTAGACTCAAAGCCTAACTTTAAAATGGAATGGAGAAAAAAAATCACTATGTTTTTGTGTCCTTATCAGATACAAAATGTTTATTTTGCAGATGTGCTCTTTTCTGTGGCTCCAGATTCCTTGGCTGCAAGGGATGTATTTTAAAATTTTGAGTGAGTTGTTAATTGCAGCAATTTCTTACACTAACTAACTGCAAAGATCCCTGGAGAAATCTCAGTTCTGCAGAAATCCATGCGAGATTAAAAACCAGTGATGTGTGTTTAGGGTGCAGTGATGCCATGTGTGTGCCACTTCCACACAGTTTATTTTCTTTGTTAGTGTTGTAAAGTGCAGGAAGAAAACACTTAGTGCCTCTTGTCAAAAAGGTTCCAGTGAAGACCATGCAATAATTAAAAGCTTATCTTTCTAGAGGGAATTTGACCAAAAATAATGCTGACTCTAACCTAGGGGAACTGCAGCCACTGCAGGGGAAAGGGGAACATAAATCCCTAGCATAAATCCCCAGATGTTCAACAAAATGTTGGAGCAAGTCCAGAATAAAAGAAGGCAGCTGGGTGGGGTGGGATGAAATGTGCTCACTCACTGGAGTGTGCAGGGGACATTCCTGGGTTTATGGTTTTAGAATAACCCAAGAAGAGCCATCGGGAATTCCCAAGGAGGAGTTTTCCTGGCCCCAGAGTGTCTGCAGTGCTCAGACAGGTGTATTGGCTGGTAAATCCAGCACACCGTGATGCTGGAAAGTGAGAAGTAGTACTTTTGGGTGACAGGATAAAAAAAATTGCAATCTCTTATTTACAGTCAGGAAACAAATAGTGAAACTGTGATTTATGTGCATGTACTGGGGTGGGAAAGCAAAGAAAGAAGATGAAGAGACTTGGTGTTCCAGGTGGGCATTCTCACTTGCCAGTCATTGATCTGAGAGCTCTCGAGCTCATTATCTTCCTTTTCAGCTGAGCATAATCAACATTAGGCTTGTAAGTGAAGGGAAATGCTGTAGTTCAGCACTGTGCATGAAATTCCTCTTGGCAGGCACTAAGTGCTTTGTGTGTGTGTAAGATTTGGGTCTTGCTTTATTTAACAAGGCAGTTCAGTGCTTGCCAGCCTGTTTAGTATACTGAAGCTCTTGGAATTAGGCACTTGCCTGTTTCCCTGACTTGGGACTAAACCAGAAGTTTTGCATTTCCGTGATAATTATCTAAAGTTACTTGAGGCTTGATTAAGGTTACTTGATCACTTTTTGTGCACGACAAGTTCCTCCTGAGCAGCTCTGACTGGATAAGGCCTTTTTCCTGCTACATAATAACCACATGACAGATATAATTGCAATAACACTTTTATGTCTGTACTGCAACCTGGTGAGTATTTGGAGTTTTCTATTTTTCTAGCAGAGTCAGGAAAAATCACAAGGAACAAAAGGATAAAAAGTGAAAAGGGCATCAAAACTAGAACAGATTTTCCAGTTCCAATTTTACATGATTTACTGTCTGGAGTTCAGATAATACAGGATGTGATTCTAAACTCTGTTACCTCTAAAATTTAAAATAGCACTATTGAGGTCCTTCAAAGGGAAAATGGAGCTTAATCTTAAATGACAAAATCTTCAGTTTATTTGGGGAGAGGCTTTTAAAATCCTTCTTATTTGGCTACTTTAGTGTTTCTTATAGATGTCTCCTATATTCAACCATGAGCTCATGCTGTTTCATATTTGTATCTTCCATTTGCCATAATATTTACTATCACAGCTCTTACATTGTGTAAAATTGTGGGTGTCCTGAGCAGAAGGGAGTTTAATACATAGAATGCGTGACATTTTTGATGTCTCTGACCCTTTGGATGCCTGTAAGTCACCACTTGACCTTTTCTGTTACCTCTGACCACGTGGGTGACCTTTGAGCTCTGGATGATCTCTGACCTTTTGACAACATTTTGAGCCCATTCTGACCTTTGATTCTGCAAGACCATTTGTCCTCTTGCAGTGACCTGTGACCCAGGATGACATCAGAACTTTGGGGAGGAACTTTGACTCCTGAATGACCTCTAGTATGTTTTCTATTTCTGTTAGCATGTCCAGCTCCTTCACCAGGGCTGAGGTCTTGACTCTAAGAACGTTGCTAATGCTTAGAAGAGCCAGAAGTGCTGTTTATCCTCCCAAAAATAGCTAAAGAAGCACAAGTGAGCAGTGACCAAACTGGTCTGGAATTGAAATCCAGCCTTGTACATTCTGTTTCTCCTCTCTACACAGGCAAGCAACACAGAAGATGTGGAAGAGGACAGATTTACATTGCTAAGGTAGGATGAAAACATCTTTTGTTTCAACTGCTTCATGGAAACTTTTGATATCTCACAAGGAGTTTTTATACTGTAATGTAATTACAGTTGGTTTGTTGGAGATTTGCTGGAGGAACAACCTAAAGAGTGAAAGTCCTCCAAGTCTTAATGATGATATGTATCAGCTGCAGACAGATAAATGCAGGCTACTGTCACCAGCTGACTCCCAAAAAATGTATTGTTGATTCCTGGGTGGGTTGTTTGTGTGGAGTTTTTATTCTCAGTATTCCTATAATGTTCTATTTTGCTTATAAATATCTGTAATCATGGGGCACGTGTTGGTGTGACCTGAGTGGGCAGGAGGAACTGCCTGGTGTCAAGAAGTGTCTCATGAATTTGCACTGGTATGGAGTTGCACCAGTTGGTGGAGATACAATCAGTAAATAGATCAATAACTGCAGTCCTTTGCTGTGGTTCTGTCAGAAAGACTTGGCTTTTATGAAACTGGCATTTCTCTAAGCAAACAGCATTATGTTGTGCCCCAAGACTAGATTTTCTTGCATCATTTCTCCAGCAGACCTGTCTGACCACAGGGACATATCTTAGCAAAAAAATTCTTAAAGGAATATTTTACCCATAAAACTTAGAAGCACAGTAATGTCTTCCACCCCATATAGCATTTTGGAGTAAAAAATAAGTGGACTAAGCTAATGGCCAAGCCATTGGAAAATCATGGTAAACATTGCAGTCTTTAAGATACAGTGAGGTTTTTTTTTCAGAGACCAAGTTTTTGGAATTCTCAAAAAAAATCAGCTGAGGGAAAGGTGTTATGGTTCACAACAATTTCAAGTATTTCACAGATATTTCATGCTGCCAGATGCTGCTGAAGTGTCCCACTTAATATTCTGTTTGCTTTTCCAGTAATGCAGCAGATTAATAAACCACATTAGATAGGAAATAGCTTTTTGAGAGAACTAGGAAAGATAATTCAAGCTTTTAAACAAAGCCATTGAAGCAGAAACAGGCTGGCATTTCCCAAAAGGTAATCAAATACTAGCAGAGCAATGAGGGAGTGTAGCACATCATTTGGAAGTCAAAAGTCGAGGGAGAAGATTTTAAAAGATACTTTAAAGAACTCTGCTTCCATTTGCCAGCAGACAGTACCTCCCAATGTCAAGGCTCTATCGCTATAGAAATTACCAAGTCCTGTTGAAAGAATCATCTGTTCTGTGAGGGGGCATCTTCTGAATCACAGTGGTGGCTTTGGTCTGCTGGGGACCTGCATGCACTCCTCACTCTTTGCTGGATCTGAGGCAGAAATTCTGGGGGTTTTCTTTCTACATTTTTGATCATAGTCAAACAACTGGCAATTGTTTTATTCTGGTCACACTGAATTGATGCTCTTCCTGTCAGACTGTTGACAAGTAATGGTTTGGATGTCCATCTGGGTTATAAAACAATTGAATTTCAGTAGCTGCAATGAGAGGAGAAATAAAAATGGGAAAAAAAGTGTGTGTAAATGTATTTTATAAATGCTGGAGTGTATCATCAGGCTGTGACTGCTCAGCTTGAACTCTGCTGGAGCTAGGGCACTCTTCTCAGGGATTTAAGGTCAAATCCCTTCAGATAAAGAGTGGAATTAATTCTGCCAATTTTTCTGTCTTGTATTTGTTTTCATTCAACAATTTTGAATAGAAAAATAGTTTTTCTCAAGTATTACTGGAAAATTCTTGTACTATGATTTTTTCTCCCTAACTGAAATTTCTGCAGCACCCTAAGTTCTGTATCCTTGAGACATCTAGATTCACATTTCTCAGACAACTTAAGTTCATGTTTATGCATTCTTCTACAACCAAGGTCTGATGAAGGTCAGCAAAAGACTTCTTTTTTTCCCCAGGAAATTAATTTGAATATGCCATTCTTGAAAGCAATGCTTTATTATTTGTTTAAGAAGTATTGTTAAGTGGGCTAGGTGCTGATGTGAATTTCCTCCTTTGTTTGTATTGATTTCAACAAAACTAAGTAAATGCTGTTGGTAAATATTCACTCTGCAAGCCCTTAGGCCAGTCAATAAAGCTGTAACCCCACCTGTCTGTTACTGTCACTCTGCTGAAGTGAAAATGCACAGTAATTTGTTTCTAGCAACGCAGGGTGAACCAATCACTTGGCATTTAGTTTGAGGTGGTGTCTTGTCTGAGCATGGACTGGAGCACTTGAGTGAAGTGAGCTGCCCTCCTGCAAGCAGGGGCATTATTTGCATTGAGCCCTACTGTTGGTCTAAAACAATTATCCAGTGCCAAGGTCACTTCTGAAAACAGCTTTTAGATGTGACAGTCTGCTCCCCAAAATATGCACAAAGACCAAACCCCATGAAATCAGTATGTAGGACAGAGAGCTGTAACCTCTGTGTGTCTGCTGTGATGGTTAAAAGTATTGCAGACAAGAAGCCTGCTGGGTATATCGTGAGACCTCCTGATTCTGAACAAAAATGTTGGTATTTGGTTGCCATAAAATCACCTTTTCTTTAAATCTAAGCACAAGGAATTGCTGCCCAGTTTATCAGTAAATATTTCAGCAAAGAATGATGCTCTCAAGAGTACGTGATTGGGAAAGGACAGGAAGTCTGCTTCAGCTTCCCTAAATTGATGGCCAGTTCTGAGCTGAGGGCAAGGCTAGTTACCACACACCTCCTTTCACATCCCTGACATGGAATTCCTTATTCTTTGGAATGCCTTTGTGCTGCTGCTTTTATAACAAAAGAGTTTCAGAGAAAACAGGATGATGCTTCCCTTTTTTCAGTTACTTCAGTCATGTGCTCTTATATTCCACAACTGAAACTTGTCCCTGTAATTTAACATTCATCAAATTCCTTTTATCATGGAAAAGTGAGGACAACTCGCTGTAGGTGAGCAAGTTACAGACTTCTGTGACTTTGATTTTGTGTACCAAGAGCTGTCTTTCATTTACTGTTACACCCTGTTAAAGTAAACCTGTGTGATGCCAACTGATTTCTGTTATGTTTCATAAAGGCTTAAGCTCAGGGCATATCCCAATCTCTCAGCTTAGGAACCAGATATACAGGAATGTGTTTGATAGATGTCTACAGGGTGCTTATCAAGCAGTTTTAGACCCTATACTAAGTCAATTATTAAGGGCAAATGAAAATGTCTGTCTTGGGGGACAGGTTATTAGCATATCCAGGAATCTTTAAATGCTGCAGGATGTTTTTCTTTTGGAGAAAAAACCAAGGCAGATCCATCCTGTTGGCTTTTGGTTTTTGTTACTGTTTTAATGTAAAAGCTAATTATTAAATTGAGTTAGATTTACCTGCTCTGCTGGCTAAATTTGAGGGTATCTGGAGATACACCCCGTGTCACTGCAACCAGGGCAGTGTCACCAGGCTGGCTGTGCACGCTGCTAAAGGCTGCTGAATCACACAGGCTCAAACAGCAGTGCTGTTTTTATGGGAAACTGGTCTTTTGTCCTGCCTATTCCAATGCCAGAATAATCATGTTGCCTTTTGGAAAGAGATGTGCAGAGTAACCGGAGCCTTGGAGTACAAAATATTAGTGATACAAAGCTGACATACCTTGTCACATCTATCAAGGATGTTTTGTCAGGAACTCCCTAGGGATTAACAAACTAACAGGTCCACTAAGACAAGTCTGAAATGGATGAAGTGTGTTTTGAAGGAAGAAGGAATCACAAGGTTGATGTTTCTCTTCCCTCCTTTGCTCACCAGATACTCTTTTCATAAAATATGCAAAGGCGATGGCAATTTGTAGTGAAGACCAAAGATGGCAAAAAAGAACAAGCAATGGCAAATGTGTGATAAAGCTTTTCATGCTGTTTTTTCCTCTGATCTGATATTTTGTCTGTTCACACTTTCTATTTTAAACTGCTATTTGTTTTTTGAGGGGTTTTTTTTCTGTCTTTGAATTAGGAAGATTCGCCAAGATTTGGAAATCTGTGGTTACACAGTGAGCTTGAGATACTCGTGCCTCTTGCAGAACAATGGGACTACTTTTAGGGTTTTGCTTGTTTGTTTTATTTTGGTTTTGCTTTTTTTTTTTCCTGCTTGATTTGAATTTACCCCAAGTAAACCTGATTAAAGGGCAATACATCCATATTATTTTGCTCTAGCTTGACTATATCAGCTTAATGTTATTTTCCCGTGGTGTGCCTGCACAGCCTTACTGCAGGGTGATGTGTGATGTGGTGTGACAGCACTGTGTGGGATCCCCCACATCCCTCTAGAATGACCTGTTTTCATCACTCTTACTGCTACTCCACTGTTTGCATTGACTTTTTGAAGTTTTGGGACTTTGTTTGTGTTTGTTGTGTGCTGGTTTTGTTTTTCTCACAGTAATGTTTGTAACAGCATTTCTTTCTGCTCTGCAATCAGGCCGGTCAAGAGAAAGTAAATGCAGTCATTTTGGGCACTGCCTGTGGGCATGGAGAGATGGATGGATCCAGGATAAGCACACACAGCCACAGCTTCTCTGACAGATGAATGATTATGGGGAATGTGATCCACTGTCCAGAGCCAACTCAGCTCTGCTGGATACTGACACAGGGGACGCCACGGGGAACTTTTCAAGTGGTTTCAGTGGGGATGCAGACAGAAATTATGGAACTACACTTTGTAAGCAAGCATTGTGCCAAAGGTCAAGCTTTCATGTCTAACTTTCACTGTTAGAAAGGATAGAAATTAGAAAAGATAACTAGAAAGGAAAGAACTTTTGAGTGTTTTCCAAGCAAAAGAGAATAGCTTTCATTCAGTCTAGTAAAATTAAATCCAGTAACAAGTGACATGTGCAAAATCCTTAGAAAGTGTTGCTGGGAATCATTGTAAATTGTAGCTCAGTGGTTTCTTTTCAAGCTTTGAGACATTGAGAGTAAAACTCCACAGAAGTTTTAGGTTACCAGACTTTAATTTGCAAGTATAATTCTCTGAATATTCCTCATTTCCCCTTAACAGCAGTCATTAAAATTTGCTAACATCTCGCCCTTTCTTCAGA